CTCTCAGGGCATTATTGCAGTTAGTTTAGTCATAACTATACCAACATTATCATTTTCTATTCAACTTGAAATGCTAGATTGCAGCATGGTCCTTTGTATGACACATAATGAAATTCTTCAAGATGGCCAATATTGATTTCACTAGAATTATCCTCTACACACGTTGGGTCTAATTATAGTGATTGGTGCAAATCCTTCATTTGATTCTGTTATATTGAAAGTAACATTCAATGCATCTGCTACTGCATGTTTTTAAACATAATTCATAATTTCGTGAATTTCGTGAGGGAACTGTCCTGATGTCCCAGCAGTAACTGTTCGATTAACAGTCGATAACGAAGAGAACACTAATGACTCCCCAGAGGTTGAACAGTCGACAAAGTAAGTCATTACAAAACAAGCGAAATATTACAAGATATCACATTACAAATCAATGAAGGTGTGATATCCAACATTGGTATTTATTTCCACTACTGCATCAATAAAATAACATTTACTTTCTGTATATTAAATGAGAATGACACCTTCTTTGATTTGTAATACCTAGTGATATCTTGTAATATTTCGCTTGTTTTGTAATAACTTACTTTGTCGACTGTTCGACCTCTGGGGAGTCATTAGTGTTCTCTTCGTTATCGACTGTTAATCGAACAGGCACTGCTGGGACATCAGGACAGTTCCCTCAYGAAATGATAAGGATTGACAAAAAAAATAAAACGATATTTAAATCGACTATCTGGTAACGTTCTACCATTGTCCCTATTCGATAATACATTCTCATCRTCCTTTCTGTTCTTGGTGATTAATACTGCCTCGAGCCAGTTCCTCTCCTTCGTTCTTTAAAATTGAAACACCGTTCTAGGTAATGCAGTGGTCTAATTTATTCGCATGCTCAGATAACCCAGATTTTTCCGAGCGGGAAGTGRTCGGCCCTCCAAAATCCCCTTAGGGCTGCTACGYTGGCTAAAAAAATATGGTATTACTTAATTAAAAATCCCAAAAATTTCCTTGCCACTATTACCCACGTGCGTRTATGCATAAAGGACGCCAYGCACTGAGTTTATTTATTTAAAKGAGTAGTCTTGAATGCAATGTTGGCAATTGATCTTTTGCCTTGTTTGTTATTTTTCAGGTCAAACTTGCCAAGTATTCATTGAAAAGACTAAAGACTCTCAGGCATCCCAACATAATAACATATATCGATAGTTTAGAGGTAAATTGTGTCTCAGTCGACAAATTCTAGATAAGAGAAAGTCAACTCTAAGGGCTCACTCTAAGTACCTTGCCCAATCTTAAAAGGTGTACTGTACCTTAAGTTGTACCTTTGCAAGATGAACATTGATAATTGAATGGTGATGAATATTATGCATGTACTGTCCAAAACAGAAATTTACCTACCTGTAATTGCATATTATTTGTGAACATCTCACTTTAATCAATGCAAAGGCACAATGTAAAGCACACTTAGTCTAGCTATTGCTTGGAAWAGTGGTAGGGGGTGTACTCCTTCTAAGATAGGATGGAGGTGGTTGTAGTTACATGACCCCTCTTAAACACCTTAGTCTTGTGGTGACGATGATGGCAGCAGACAAATTTTCATCCCTCTTGAAAGCTGTATTAAGAACGTATCTCAGGATCAGTTTTTTATTGTTTGTAATACAATTATTATTTATGCTCAAGCAACAAGCAAGCATCAGACTAAATCTGTTGCACAACAAGTATTGCCTGTTGATTTTTACACTAAAACCTGGCAAAAAAACTCATCTGAAGTAGTTTTGTTTATAATGGAATGGAGCCCTTCTTAGGGGTAGGTCTGTATTTTGTATCTGTGGATAAATACAATACTGTCCATAAAGTGGATAGTGTTCTGTACCATATGTCGTTTTCAACCATTCCCATGAGATTCATAAAGATGAAAGGTCAGCAGCCATGTTGGAGGAATGAACAATATAATTATAGATCTACTATGAGAAATCCTTTGTTGAAGAACCTCCAAGATGGCACCTCTGACTGACGACATAATATAATTAATAATAATAATGATTATAATTAATGATAATATTTGGTGAGTCGCATGGGTAATTTTATGTGAGTTGCACTCTTTTATATCCAAGATATATAATTATATTGATTGATTCTTTTTTTTATTTAATTATAGTCTGATACAATTATTTATCTTGTGACTGAGCCGGTTGTACCACTAGAGGTCTATTTAAAGGAAGATGGTGCCAAGTCTGACATGGCTATTTCATGGGGAATACATCAGATTGCTGTGAGTGAGACATTAGGTTTCGTGCTACAGCATACACCTAATTAAAAAAAGCATCAAAGCTAAGACTAAAAGGGAGCATTGGAAAGCAAATACTATTTAACAAATCGAWATCGTTTTTCTATGGTCTGTACRCTTATCGACAATGAAAATGGCGTCAGAAAATGATCAAAACTCGAGTGGAACCACGAGCGTACAGACCATAGAAAAGCGATTTCGATTTGTTTTTTRCCATAACAAAGCCGAAAACAAAGTAAAACTTTCAAAACAAAATCGTTTCTGGTGCGCGCTGGCTCCGTGCGCAAGCGATTCGTCATTTCATTGGTCTGTCCTATGATCGACAACGGCTCTGGACCAATCAGMGYGYGAGAATTCTACAAGTTATGGTAAAAAAGTATATAAGTACCATGCTTCRATGCCAAAAGATTTCCCACACTGAATAATGACTTTCTCTATGTGTAAYGCTATGATGTGACATGTTTAGGCACATGATTGAATTTGTGGGACTTCTTCCCTTTGGTAATAGCTTTGATGGTATCACCATTTTGCGACAGAACATTTTCCCCGAAATTTGTACATGGCTTACAATATATACAATCATGTAGTGCATATGCACATATTGTACTGTACTCTACAATATACTGTGACTGATAAATGTTGTTTTGTACAATTTGTGTTGGTTTTCTTCTCTCCATCAAAATTAACTAGTAGTTGTAAAAGGAATTAGTGCTAAATGTCTACATTTGACAATAGGSTGGACTGAGCTTTCTTATCAATGACTGTAGCCTGCAACATGGCAATGTAAGCATATCAGCAGTCTTTGTTGATTTGGCTGGAGAGTGGAAGCTTGGTGGAGTAGAGTATATTCAGCCATTGGAGCCTCCACCAGGATCTGAAGACATCAATGTATTAGGAATGTTATTACCAGCTTTGCAAGTGTATGATCCTCCAGAAGGACGCAAATATAGTAAAACAAATAAGAGGCTACAGAAATGGTATGTTCTGACCRATTTTAATTAAACTATAATATTTAGTAACTGAAGTGCAAGGAATGAATGGACGGACAAGAAGCTATGAGTGAATTTGATAGATGCATGTGTGTCAGTGTACACTATTTAGTAATAGATATTCTTGCAAGATGATTAAATGACAAGTCTTAATGCTTGGAGTGCTTTAGATCACTTATGAGTAATTCATAGTGTCCAGTGCAAGGCTGAAAAAGATTTCTTTAAAAGTGCTCTTCAGCAGCCTGCTTAGAGCCAAACCAAAAGTGTTGTTTTGGTTTGCTTGCCTGCAGGCTTGCTGTGCAGCAGACTTTCTGGATTCACAAATGTGTACTTTTTACAAATTGAATTACTCACCTCATTAATTATCAAAGACATTTTCATTTTTTATTGAATTGCWCTGAATCAGGTGATGTACTATTTAGTGCAAAAGTGTGTAAGCTTTTTCTTATTTATATTTAGCACAGACCTAGACATGTTGACCAACTACAATAGGACAGTTTCTCAGGAGTAAATGTTATAAGGATGTCAGGTGTGGGTTCGTGTAGGTTATTAATCTACTGGTAATTTTATGTTGATACTAGGTCAGCAGATTCATGGGGACTGGGCTGTCTTATCTGGGAAGTATTCAATGGCTCTTTATCAAGATCTGCTTCACTCAAAACAGTTGGACAAATCCCTAAATCACTCATTCCACATTACGGTGAGCTTGTGAGCGCTAACYCAAAACTGAGACCAAATCCTACAAGATTCAYTGAAAGTTGCAGAGCAGATGGACACTACCTCAAGAATGACTTTGTAGATGCAAATCTTTTCTTAAGAGAATTACAGATAAAGGAACCAAAAGAACAAAAGACATTTTTCTCATCTCTTAGTTCATCTTTAGACTCGTTTCCTGAAGCTTTTTGTAGACATAGAATTCTTCCMCAGTTAATAAATGCTTTTGAGTTTGGGGCTGCTGGTTCAGCTGTTCTAGGCCCTCTGTTCAAGGTTAGTGGTTTTTAAGTGTATACTGCGCTGTTTAAAACTCTTGTTTCAAACAGTAAACTCTTTCAAAATGTTCTTACGGAAACAATGMCCATAACCTGGGTACTTATATTTGAGCAACGTTTATTGAATCAACCATTTGATTCAACAAACGTTGCTCAAATGAAAAGTGTGGGGTTCTAAGACAACAATGCACCGCTGTAAAATCTCTTGATTTTCCACTCTTGGAAAATTTTGATGGCAACTATTTATGTTCATTATGATACATGTACATTTGAGAACTTGCTTTRCAAGAGTCTCTTGGAGAACGTCCAAAGCAAGTAGACAAAATTGTCAAACGTTCGTGTGTTACCTTCTCTATTAGACGATGTTTGTGATGTTTGTTCCTACTATATATGCCATGCTAAGTGGTGACTACGACTGTGTTATTGTAGGTTGGCAAGCTTTTAGAAGCTGATGAATACCAAGCTAAGATCGTTCCTTGTGTTGTAAAGTTGTTTTCATCAACAGACAGAGCTACAAGAATACATCTACTACAACAGGTGCATTGTACTTTCTKTGATTTTTAATTTTCTTAATGCACTTGCTCATGAATTTTAAAGCGTTATTTCTGAATAATCAAACAAGCACATTAACTTACATTGTAAAAAAGACGTTTTTGTCATTTAAGGGTTCCTTTTGTGTTTCTTTTAGCTGGACCAGTTTGTACAACATCTCAAACCTCAAATAGTGGATGAACAGATCTTTCCTCATGTCTCTCTTGGTTTTGGCGACACTGTCCCAGCAATGAGAGAACAGACTGTTAAGGTAAWGGCTATGAACCAGGCGCGTAGCGTCAACTTTCTGTCTAGTACGCACATGTCATGGAGCTCGACATATATTTTGGGTAGGGGGACTAGCGACCGCCGAAAGCCGAGCGGGAGTATTAAGAGGGGTCTGAGGCTCCTCCAGAGGAAATTTTGAAATAATAACTCTTGGAAATGCGATTTCCAGCGTTTTGAGGTTCTTTTTGATAACTAAGCCTTGGTTGGAGAAAGCAAACAAAGAAAATTATATAAAAATAATCCCGAAGATTGTAATATGCCACTAGTACGCACGTGCGTATATGCGTAAAGGACGCCTGTGAACCTTCATATTCTATCATCAATATTTCAAAACTAGTTTTGGACGGAGGACATTGTACAGTGTGAACCGAAAATCGGTGGACGAAAAACCAAAAATTACAATATATCTCAGTGTCTTGTTTTTTCCCCTTCCATTGTGTGGACGGTCAATGTTTTGATTTTCTTCTCTTGTCCTTAGGCCATGCTTCTTTTAGCTTCAAAACTAAGCGAAAAAACTATCAACAACCAATTGCTGAAGCATTTTGCCAAGCTACAAATGGATCAAGAGGTATTTTCACTCGCGACTCGCGATTTTGCGAGCCCAACAAGCAAGAATACTTGCGAGAAACGTCTCTTTTCCACTCTCTTTTTACTCATTCATTTATCGTTATATTTGGTATTTGTATTAATTGTTATTTTTCCCCTAGGCTGGYATAAGAACCAATACCACAGTTTGCTTAGGGAAAATTGCATGTCACCTCTCACCAGCGGTACGTCACATTTAAACTTGCTTCAACGATTAGTCGAATTAGAAGTTGTTTCTATAAGGTGTGCATGCTTAGTTTGATAAAACCAAATAAAATTACATCAATAACACTAATGAAACAATCAAAGGCAAACGAAAGCAAAATTTATTATAGATTGTTTGTATCACAAATGCAGCATTTTGAATATGAGGACCGCATGATAGACATGATCGCATCGAATGAAGCCAAATCAGACGAAAAAATGTTGAGCAAAATTTTAAAGTTGTTTTTTATGGACTTTTTTTCATATTTGCCCTACAGTTTGGTGGATTCTAAACCACTCTTACTGTAGTCCACTGAACTCGTAGATCAACTCCTATAGTCCACTGTCCACTAGGACTTCGTCGTCTAATTGCCAATTATATMACGCTGTAGTCTGTGGTTAAATGTTTATTTTATGTCTTTAGACTCGTCAAAAAGTATTAGTATCAGCGTTCCTACGTCCTCTACGTGATCCATTCCCTCCCGCCCGATCAGCGGGAATCATGGCATTCTGCAGCACAAATGCTTACTACAGTATAAAGGATTGTGCTWCTAAAATACTACCTGCCATGTGTACAATGACATTGGACCCCGAGAAAAAAGTTAGGGATCAGGTAACATCGTATTTTTGTTATTTTTGCTTTCTTTCTTCTTCGTTTTTGTGTGTGTGTGCCCCCTCGTTCTCTACATATGTTTCTTGCAAAAGATCAGCTGATTTTCTTTCGTATTGTTTTTACTGAGTCTTTAACTATAACTATTATAAGTTGTGTCTTGGGTATAATCTCTTCATTCTTCTAGCTCACAATGAATTATATTTCTCCTCTGTCCTTCGTTGATCATTTCCTACGGTAGGAATACCGTACAATCATTCCCTTGCTATGGCTATTCTTTTTTCACTTCCTTTTTATCACTTCCCTTCATCTTTCTCATCACTCCTTTCTTTTTTTTCCATTCTCGCTGACATGCATTCTTCCAATGCACTTATTTAAGCCCTTGGTTTTTGTAGACTTTTAAAGCCATTAAGATGTTTCTTGATAAACTGGAAAAGGCTTCCGATGATCCTGAGTCAGATGTCAATAAAGCAGGTTTGTTGATTGGCTGACATTGTCTGACTTGTACCAAAACCTTAATATTCCATGTAATTAACGCGCCTGTTTCATGCGTGCTATAGTGTAATTTGTAGACGTGGTCAGAAAAAATACTTAGTCCGAAAGGGCCTGTGGGAAGCCAGTGCGGTAAATATACAAATTTTAATCAAAATAATTGAAGAATTGAAGTCATTTTCTGCAAATGATGCTAATTCAATCACACATCCTGTTACGAAATGTTTCGGGGACCCTTTTGGTTTCGATTTATTTTAGCTTAGTACCCAGGCGTCCCTTCCCGTCGCAAGYGGGTGATCCCCGGAGAGAGTCACTCTGTTACGTTGTTCAAGCCTAGAAACGAGGAGGAACGACTGGGTACTAGGCTAGATTTTTCTGTGAATGATTTTCTGCACACTAACGATTGTTAAATAGAATGCATGCATGTTTTTTTTCATTATTTTGAAAAGATAAAAACCGTTTTTTTATGAAAGAAGGTTATCCTTGAAACATTTTTTTCAGCTGCCGAACAGGCCGCAGGGGATGCTGGTTCATCTTCCTGGACTGGATGGGCTGTGACATCATTGACTTCTAAACTTTACAGGGGTGGGACTGAGACAGCCGCTCCTGCTGCCAGTAATGATAAAACAACAATTTCGGAAACCAGGAAACCAGAGAAAGGTAAAAAAACAAAAACATATAAAATAACGAAATGCTATGAACGTTATGATCGTGTGATTCTCAAGATTGATGCCAGTTTTGTTGGTTATATTTCCAAAGCACATGAACAATCACGACGAACTCARTCACCGAAACAGAAACCTCAGAAGAGTGCGCCAATGAAGACCCAAACTAAGGATAATGATGATGACTTTGACCAAGCCTGGGGTGAAGAAYGGGAAGATGACGATGAGGTAGGCTAGTGTGTCTGTCGTTTGTCTCTCTGTCTGTTATACTGTTCGCCTGTTTGCTTCGTTTTTATGGTTCTACTTCCTTATTCTCTGTGTCGTCTCATCTATCGAGTGGCCAATACTCCATTTTACATTTTGTTTGAAATCTAAGATGGMAAATTTTCATATGTGAGAGAAAATTGCCCAAAAGTTCTATAATAATTMTAAATTGTAGAAATGATTTATTGATTTATTAAATTAGACTGTTTGACCACTGAGTTGGTTGGTTGATTGATCTATCTGTTCTATGAATATTGATCGATTGATTGGACAACTTATTTGCTATTAATCTGCTCTTTTTGATTTTGATCTTCTTTCTGATCCKTTACAAGCTCAGTTTGATTCAATGATGTATTGATCTAAAATAACTAATCCATGCTAATTTAGGAACCGCCAARAAGTGTAACAGTAGACGACTTGAAGAATGATCTCATGGCTGTGAAACAAGAGTGCAAAACATGGCAAAACAGCGCTTCCCGAAAAAATGTAAGTCGAGTTATTGTTAGGATGATCAGGGCACAAATAGTTGAGAAAGGGATGCATTTACCTTAAATCTAATAAATTKCCGGTATTCTTGAGGRAATTTGTTGTCAAATRAAATTGCGAATGGCAATGCAATTGTAGGATGGAAATTGCACGACCGAAAGGGGGCAGGGGTTTTGCTAATCGATGGGGAATAACTTATAATAATGATTTATACTGTATAAAGTCTGTGGTAAATATTGCCTCCATTTAGTCTCCATTTTTAAGCAAGACAACATTAGAAATTTCAGTGGTCCTTTTTTGTCGTGAAATATCCGTTGCGCCGATCTCCCCGAAACATGCTTTTTGGAATATAYGTATATTCATCTATAGTGCGTTTTGGATGTAGCTGCTAACAGMCTACCATGCAGTCTGGCTTTGCTTTGCCTCGAAGCGAGCAGATTTACCGCAAGCTCASCGGTCTTCTATCTTCAATGCGATTGCACAGTTACCTTTCAAGGTGGCACAGGAATAGGCCGTTTTGCATGGTGCTAAATCCRCCATACTGGATGGCAATAAAATGTAAACAACTTGAAAAACAAAAGATTACAGCCCATCAAGCTTTACTTTTCTTTGTCTTGAACATCTCAGTAGGTATTTTGCCATCCCGTATGGCGGATTAAGTACTATGTGTCTGTATAAAGAAACTATAAGTTGCGCAGTAAATGGTGTCAGTTATGTCGGGAACCGTGATTTATGTCGGACTCCGACCAGTTTCCTGGTGCTCAAATGAAATATAAACAGTATTTTGAACGACTCGTCTGTATCGGTCATTTTTCAGATACCACCAGATGATGGCGATGCTGAGGACAGCGGTAGTGATTATGACGACTGGAATAACGATGATTGGTCAAGTATTAGTGTATGTCTGTTCTTCTACACCGTTATTACGTGACGACACTCTAATTACGTCACTATGTCGTAATCATGACGTCACTTCGTTTTGATTGGCTGATGGTTCATATAATCTTTGTCCATTGTCGAATGAGTTCCGCGGAAAAACCTGTAAAAGAAGCTTAACCAAAGAGTGCGCTATGTATACATAACAGTTTTTATATAATGAGTTTTTTTTAATTTATGTATTGCTTAATTACTCTCACAGAAAACCAAAAAGGCGGCTCCTCCTAAAGATGATTTCCCAACGTTCACACAAACCGAAGGCAAGACAGCCAGCCATTTCTTTACTGGTGGAGATAGTCATATCACTGTAGAGGAAGACCTTGACCCTTTCTCGGCATTGGTAAGGACCATTTGCYTGATCGARCTAAAGCTTGCCTTCTTGCCTCCTTTGCAAACGTTTTTAGAGAATTTTTAGAGTCGATCCCAGGCCCTCCCGGTAGCGAATKATTTGCCGCGCGGTCTCCAGTTTCGTTGCTGAAGGTAGACTAATTTGACTTCACTAAGAGAGCGAAAATTGGCCACGAAAATAGCGAAAAATATCTTTAAATAGAAATCACATTTCTGCCATAACTAGTCAGGTATTTATCGTTATTAATATTCAATTGTGTTTGTAACGGACTCTTTCAGTATTATGTATAACATCTAAATTCTTTTCTCAATTCCGTTTGATTCAAGTAGCTCATTAAATTTTTCATGGACAAATATACGAGTACTTGCGAGAAATTTTGTAGTGCTCTTCTCGCAGTATTAATAGGTCAAGAATATGATGTCCTTGTCTTTTTGTTTATAGTTTAGATTTTTGAAACTATCCGACATAATTATATTCTCTGAAACCTTCATAGTCCAACACCAATTTCACGAAAACAGAATCCCSAAAACCAGCACACAATCAAGSGCCACTTACTCAAAAGCCTGCTGGGAAAACGTCAAAAGGAAACTCCGAGGGAGACTGGAGTCTCGATGATTGGGGATCGTTTGATGACGTCCCTGGTAGCAAACCTGCGAGCACCAAAGCAAAWGTGTCTTCAGGGACAGCATCGCAAAATAGTGGCTGGGACGATAATGAATGGGACACTCTTGACCAGTCATCAAGTAAACCGGTAAAAAARGAATGGAACGACTGGACTGAGGACTGGGGATCTCTTGAGAGTGAAGCAAGTAGTGGAATGAGCAAAGCGGAAATAGCAAAGAAGAAACGCGAAGAGCGTAAACAGCAGCGGCTTCAGGCCATGAAGGAAAAGAAGGCTGCAGGACGARGACCTGCAAAACTAGGAGCTGTGAAGATGCAATAGATTGTCGAAAGGTCTTAACAGCGACCGGTCGTTCTAGGAGGCTTACGTAGACATATTACTGTTGGAAATTTCTCAACAATGATAAGTCTCTGTGTTTGAAGGTTCTTYCAAATAGGTTTTATAGAAATCATTCGAGGACTTGATTGCACAAAACTTCCATTCAACTATTTTTTATAAATGAGGCTGGAAGGCCTTGACACATCACAACGATTCAACGTGACGGCAATTATTAAATAGCTTTATTTTACAATTACGTCGACCATGCTGCATAACGACTACTTTAACATACACAATGCCCACCTCTACACACAAATATATCTCTAAACAAAAAGTATCAGCAAATGTTGGCGATAACTATTTTGTCAACATCCTGATAGAGTGCAAACAACGTGATATTTGTGAAACACCTTACAAAATAGACAAATATAAATTACCACAAACTGTGAAAAACTAAAAAAAATAGTGCTAAATTTTACTGAATCACATGCGAATTCCTTTGGTTTCTAGAGCTCTTTGTCTTATCAATAGAGTGAAGCCAATGAAACAAAAATTGACTGTTTATAAAGTATGATAGTCAAATAGGCCCCAAATAAAACAATGCAATTAGAGCTTACTGAGGTTATTTAGTGTAATATCTATTTCACGGGTTTTTTGGTTGARTCATACATGCGTTATTTGGTTGGGCTTTTCACGCTTTTAGTATCGCAATCTCTATATGTTATCCATGTGAAATAGGTAGTGAAAAGAAGATTACAAAATTGTAAATTGGAAAAAAAATTATCTGAACACAATTTGTTTCTATGGCGATGTGCTTTAGACAAGCACAGTTTCCATGGTGATAACCTAGAAATACATTTTGAGAAGTTGAAATTGTATTATAAATTCCTATAGATTGTCAATAAAGATATTTTACAAATGAATATGTTCTCAATGATCCATCTAAAAATATATATTTCTCCATTGATAAAGCAAAA